AATAGTGACACCTAAGGCCAGGGGGATTTCCTCCCTCAAAATGCTCATTGCATATGTATATTTTGCTGTAAGTCTGCTGCATAAAAAAAAGCCTTGCCACGTAGTTTTGCAAGTTTTTGAAAGGTGCCTTTACATTTCAGCTAGTGGTTCATTCTGGAAGAAAGGCTCATTGCATAAGAAAAATTAAAAGGGGCCTCATACCCTAATGCATAAATCTAGTTGTCAGGGAATTAAGTGACTTTTTAAAAGTATCTCCCCTTTAACTTATAAGTTTAAAAAAAAAGTGTATACTAAAAATTAGGCATGTCATGTCTTTAAGAATTACACTGCTTACAGTAACAGATTTTTTTTTTTTGTAATTTCACATGCATAATATGGAGGAAAAAAGGCATCAGCAATTTTCTTACTGAAATCAGAATTGTGGCAGCTAATGCTTGTATCACATTTAAACATTTATTACCTCACTTAAAAATAACAAATTTGTTGTTAACATGGCAAGAAGTATTTGCCCAAGTTTCATTTGCAGACTATTCTGTAGACAGTTTGAGAGACTTCTGCTTGCAACCTTGTGTAAAACATGTGCATGAGTTTTTATCTCAAGTAGTAAAGGCTCCTTACACATGTCTGTAACCACAAGAGCTTGACTTATCCCTTCTTTTGAATAGTGTTCTTATTGAGGGTAGGAAAGACAAAAGGGGGGAAAATGTTAATGACAGTTTTTCTCTTTTCTCGCTCCTTCCTGATTAATCTGGGAGAGGGGGCAGTCAGAGTAACTCCATCCAGTTATCTTGCTGAGATTATTTTCAGGATGAACCATTATGGTTCTGTTAAACTAACTAATTGGACAGAGAAGATTCACATACATCTCCCCATAAAGAGATTTGGGCTTTAGTGAAGAACGCAGTAAACAACTTGATTCTTATTAAAATCTAGATTCTCCCATCAGCTTGACTGCAGGTTGGTTTTGATTCCACACAGAACCTGCATAAGGCTTATGTCTTGACTTCAGTAAAATTTATTTACATCCTTTCTTGAACTGGGACTTCTGTTTTGTCCTTGTACATCAGCCACAGTTGCTACAAGTCCCAGGTAAGAAAGCACCCTTTTGAACTTAGCGACTAGGGCTGTAATTCTCAACTAAATATCTTAAGCATTTATTTTTCTTTTTTCTAGCAGAATCACAAACAACTATAAGGCCAAAATAAAGAATATTAAATAGAAAATTTATAATTAAGTTGCTGGTATTCAATGAAAAAAATGAGGCATACAAAATATTTTACAATTGTGCGTATCTGCTGCATAAAATAATCTTGTTATCTGTGTAAATTTGCAAGTTTTCAAAAGGTGCTTTTTCATTTTAGCTAATGAGTCATTGTGCAAGTGATCTTCATGTGTACAAGTAACTATAAAAAATACAATGCATTCAACGCCTAATGGTTCTTCAAAACTCTTTTTTTTAACATTACATTTATTATATGACAGCAGTACTGTAGCAAAATAAAGAGTATACCCAAAACATAACTCATATCCTTTAGTTGATATATCATCTTATTTACTGTTAAAGCAACAAAGGTAATTTTATTTTTGATTTTACATTGAAGGTGGACATATAAAAATTGTTGGGATTTATCCTGGAGAAAACATGATGTGACAGAATATAAAATCACTGGCAGTGTAAAGCATTCTCCTTCCACATCCTATTGGCAATTGTAAAAGCATCCAAAGATAATGCAAATACAGTGGACTTCAAAAAAAGAATTTTGAAGATATAAAACTAGAGAGCTTTTTGGCTGAACATTTCCCTGAGTGTTCCATTTTTAAAATCATAGGCTACGCTTTACGTTCACAGAATCTGGACGCTTGTTAGTTACAAAAGGTTTGTTAATAAGGACTACTTAGCTATATATGCAAGAGTTAGGTCCTTCTAGCCTTAGGAGGACTATGCAAGAACTGCTGAGGAAGCAATTTGACTTCAGAATCTGGTATTTTTTCCTAAAGAGAAAAGCATACTTCGCATACTTTTGCAGTAAGACTTTGATAGTTTGAAATTACACCACATGATCCATGATTTGTATTTTAACTTTGTGAACAAGTCTAACAGGGGTATCTTACTTTTCAGGGCAACACTGAAACAAAATACTCTGGGACACCTAAATAATTAAAAACACTTTGGCTTTTAAATTATTCTTTGAGAAAATAGAAGGCACAACTGCGCATCAAAAACTATACGATTTTATATTTTAATCTGCTTATATAGTTTTCATCACTTCAGACTGTCTGTAAGTCTCTAAAGACATATTTCAGTAACAGTAAATTAGTTAGCTGTCATAAGCTTTAAGTATGACCTAAAATGGAGGAACACTAATAGCAAAAAGGCATATTTGAAAAAGTTATGTTCAGTAGCAGATGAACTGATGCTCATCCACTAAGAATTCACCATTCTAGCTCTACAGGATACTCTCCAGTAAGACATGCTGTGCAATGACCAATCTTCCCAGCACGTGACTTCTGGTTTTTAAGGCTGTTCTCACTCTCTTGCCTTGCTTTGATGCTTTCTTGCACAGATGATACCAGCCCTTCCACAGAAAGATAAACAACACTGTCTGCTCCTAGAGAAATAAAGAAATCAGTAAGTAAAAGCTGCAATATTGGACCAAATGCAATGCTCTTCGGAAATGCAGTCACATTATTGTGTGGAGTATGATGCAGGGTGGATCACCTTCCGTGAAAAGAATGGTCATCAGGCAATAATAAGCCTTTTTATAACTCACAGAATCACAGAATCCTTTAGGTTGGAAGGGACCTCTGGAGATCATCTAGTCCAACCCCCCTGCAGGGTCCTCTAGAGCATATTTCCCAGGATCACATCCAGACGGGTTTTGAATATCTCCAGGGAAGGAGACTCCACCACCTCTCTGGGCAACCTGTTCCAATGCTCTGTCACCCTCACAGTAAAGACGTTTTTTCTCAGGTTTAGCTGGAAATTCCTGTGGTTCAGTTTATGCTCGTTGCCTCTTGTCCTGTTGCTGGGCACCACGGAGAAGAGACTGGCCTCATCCTCTTGACATCCTCCCTTCAGATACTTGTACATATTGATCAGATGCCCCCTCAGTCTTCTCTTCTCCAGACTGAACAGGCCCAGCTCTCGCAGCCTTTCTGCATAGGAGAGATGCTCCAGTCCCCTCATCATCTTTGTAGCCCTCCGCTGGACTCTCTCCAGTAGTGCCCTGTCTCTCTTGTACTGGGGAGCCCAGAACTGGACACAGCACTCCAGATGTGGCCTCCCCAGGGCTGAGTAGAGGGGGGAGGATCACCTCCCTCCACCTGCTTGCAATGCTCTGCCTAATCTGCACCCCAGGATCCCATTGGCCTTCTTGGCCACAAGGGCACACTGCTGCCTCATGCTTAACTTGTCGTCCACCAGGACACCCAGGTCCTTCTCTGCAGAGCTACTTTCCAGCAGGTCAACCCCCAGCCTGTACTGCTGCATGGGATTATTCCTCCCCTAGGTGCAGGACCCTGCACTTGCCTTTGTTGAACTTCATGAGGTTCCTCTCCGCCCACCTCTCCAGCCTGTCCAGGTCCCTTTGAA